TGTAGAGAAACTGTCTAGCTTTCCATATACAGCATAATATCGGCTGTTGGCTTGTTGTATATGGCCTTTGTCATGTTAAGGTGTGGGCTCTCTAACAAGCTCTAAGCTTGTTTATCATGAAGGTTTATTGAATGTCATTGAATGTCTTTTCTGCATCTGTTGATCATATTGTTTTTCTCCTCCATTTTTTGTGGGGTACCACCTTGCAAATACAGATTTGCATGCATTGAGCTATTCTTGCATACCTGGGATGAATCACACTTGTTAATGGTAAATAATCTATGTAATGTGTTGTTGAATTTGGCTTGCTAGGTGTGTACTCAGGATTTTTGCAACTATTTTCATCAAGGATATTGGCCTGCAATTTTTTTTTCTTTCTTTTTAATGTGCTTGTCTGATTTGATAACAAGATAACATTAGCTTTATAGGCTGTGGCCGCCCCTGGAGAAGAACCACCAGCATCTCCTGAGATCCCCGCCATGTTGGAACTTAGGATGCTGGGAAACCAAGGAACCAGCCTGCCTCCCTGCTAAGCAATAGTGAACCTACTGGTGCATGGCCTAGAGTCAAACATCCCACTTCCCCTATCCCCCTTTCCTGTGTCCCTGCCGTGAGCAAAAGGGAACCAGAAATCTGAGCATTTCCTGGGAGGTTGACCATAGCAAATAAGGGGGAATTCCTTCTACTATCTCTTTGAAGGCAAGTATTTTTATTACTGTTTTGTGCTATTCTGATTACTGGTAATGCTCTATTCAATATTGTGTTTTGGTAAGTTCTATAATGTTCTGTACTTCATTTTATTTTGCTATACATGATTGAAAGAACAACTATTGCGATGATAATGAGATATACTGTGAAACCTATTACTGTTATCCCGGTAACCTGCTGGGAAGTTCTGTACCAATTTCACTACACTGTCTCAGCTGGCTTTATTCTGTCTTGTTCTGTTGCATTTTACTACCTTAAAAAAAATTAGCTTTGTAGAATGTGCTTGAGAAAACTCTCCTGTTTAGTTTTTTGGAATTTAAGGAAATCTAGGATTCGTTCTTTAAAAATTTGGTAGATATCAGCAGTGAAGATGTTTGATCCAGGCTTTTCTTTGGGGAGAGACTTCATTCTGTCTTTCTGTCTTCAGTCCATCTTCAGTTTATCTCTTTATTTGTTTTCATGCTTCATGATTCAGTTTTGGTGAGGTGTGTCTCCAGAAATGTGTTCATTTTTTCTAGGTTTTCAAATTTATTGATGTGTAGTTGTTCGTAACACTCCTTAATTTTTGCTTTTCTCTGGTGTCAATTGTCTTCCTTTTAAACTCTTTGATTTAAGTCTTGTGTCTCTCATAGTCTAACTAAGATTCTGCCAATTTTATCTTTTCAAAGGTCCCGGTCTTTCTTACTTCTCCCCTCTGAGGGGTGGTGGAGGGACCTGCTGTCCGGTGTGGCTCCAGATGTCAAGGCTACGCTAGTGGTCCAGGAGTTGGAGCCCCACCCAGCCCAGCCCTGGGGCTGAGGCCTGGCTGAATTCCCTCTTCTCTACTGATCAGGAGACGCCCATCTCTAGGCCTGCTTAGGGCTCTGGAGGCCACCAGGCCGTGCTGTCCTCCCTGCCTTCTTCCAGACCTGTTCTTGTCATTGTACTAAGCTGGGATCTAGGACCGCTTCCCTGGCTGTTTGCTCTTTAGAAAATCATCTGTCATGTGACAAGCTGCTCAGCTGCTGTCAATAGGACTGCAGTTACTGGAGGGCCACAGCCACTGACTTGTGACCTCCTACTTTTTAATCTAATGCAGATGATTAAGGATTCCTCAGATGTCTTGAGACCCACCCAGTAAAGATGGCTCCCAAATTCCATCCTCTGCGACCACTTCTCCACCAGTGAAAGGACCAACACTTACTTGCTCATGATGTAGATTTCAGCACAAACATCTGTCCTAAACTGTTCCCTAAATCTTCTAAAGTTCCACGGGGTCTCCCCATTCCCTTTCTAACTCCCTGGCCATCATACTTAGTGATTCGTCTGAGATCTTGCACATGTGGATGGATTTACTGTCCATGGATTTACTGTTGATTCCATTTGGGTCACAGGGAGTTTCTGCCTGGCCTGCAGCAGGTTTTGTCCCAGCACCATCCTGGAGGGCAGCAGCAAATCTTCCTGTCCTGATTCCATTCAGATCCCTAAGGGGTCCAGAGAGCCAGCATCACACTGATGAAAGGAAGCCCTCTCTGATGTCCATGTGCCCACTACTCCTCCGTGTGATGGTCTGGGAAACTGTCAATGCTGAGCTGAGTACTCACAGGTATTGGCTTGGGCCTTGGACAAGCAGGCTCCAAATGGGACTGGCAGGTGAGGTCCTTGTTGCAGCCAGCACCTTGAGGGAGAGAAAGAAAGTCCAGGAGCCCCTGGTGACGCTGTCAATGATCTACTGGGAAGAGAGAGGAGAGGCCCAGGAAAGGCCATGAAGCAGCCAGTTTCCAGAAGCTGAGCCAAACCAACCCCAAGCCAACCTGAGTCAGTAGTGGAACAGCAGGGAGGAGGGTGCCTTGCACCCTGTGGTGCTACCTGTGCCCACCATCAGTGAGCTGTTCCCTGCCGGGTTCTCCCAAGGTGACACCCAAGGGCCCACCAGGTCCTCGACTTGCTTTTGCTGGGTAAAGCACCTGCAGGAAAATCTCCAAATTGGGGAGAGTCCCACCAGCTCTGGCTCAGTCCATGGTTGTGAAGGGTTCTGGGTAGGGGTGTGGACCAGTCATGGTGGAGGGTACCCGCTCACTTCACAGCACCAGGAAGCAGAAAGAAAGGGCCAGGACCCCCATTACCCACTTCCCTCCCTGCCCCAACAGCCCCTGTCAGGGACAGGGCCTTTAGTACCCCAGGCAGACAGATGCCCCACCACATAGCTCAGTTCCAAATGTCTGTCAGTGCAGAGATTACTCACAGGAGCCCTGGTGCTCTGGCTCTCCAGCCCTGGCCTCAGCTAACGTGCAGACCCAGCTTTATCAGCAGTGTCTCTGCTGTGGGCTAGGTGTAGCCCCAAGTTCACTGTTAGAAACCGAAACGCAGAATTCCTGTGCTCGTGGCCCTTGGTTTGGGGCCCTGAGGTAGTGGTAAGGACCTGACAGGGTCATAGGTTGGCCCCAGGCAGCACTGGTGACTCTAAGGGACAGGTGGAGGTCCAGGCTGCACACTTGCTCGGTGTGACCTTACAAGGCACCCTCTGTCACTGTATGCAGAAGGCCTCCGTGTGGGTTCCCAGGCTCCAGAACTACGAACCAAGTGATCCTCTTTCTTCCTCAACGTCCTGGTCTCCAGTACTTCATTGTAGCAACAGAACGTGGAATGAACACTTACAAAGTACACAGTGAGCATCAAAAGCAACTTCAGAGCTCAGTCACAACTGAGAGATCTGTACGGAGAGGAGGAGAAGAGTTTCCTCACTCTGATTTGACAGTGGAGGAAGAGTTCTTGTTCATCCCCTCCCCCAGCACGAGTTGCCTTCAGGTCACAGCCAGGGCCTCCACCCTGCAGCCCCTTCCACTGCTCTCCTAAGTGTGCTCACACAGGGCTGGGGACATCCTGGCCATCTCTAGAAAGGCTGAAAAAGGGCAATGGACATTTCTCCCAGTAGTTGCACTGAGGAAGCCATCCCAGGCTCAACCTGGTTCTGGGTGTAGGTCCAGCCTGACCCTGGTGTGGACCAACTCCACACCCAGATACCATTCCAGACAGCTTCCAGTGAGTGTGGGCTCTCAGCACAGGTGCAAAATGTGCATGCATTTGGGCTAAACACACAAACAACGAGGGTTGTTGAGTGAATAGTCAAGCGAACAGGCATGGGAACGCATATCCTGCATGCTTCTTTGGTGTTTATTTCTTGTCTATATCCTAAGAGGAAATAGCGCCAGGGCCACAGAAGAAAGAGCCACAGAAAAGACTGAGTGTTTTCACTGAGATCTCAGAGATGAAGCTGCTCAGCTGAACAGGAAGCTGACACTGAGGCTGCCTGCTGAGGATCTGTGCGTTGTCATGGTTACTGAAGCCACTGAGACAGCTCTGAAGTCAATGTGGGGGTGGAGGCTGTGACACAGAAAGAGAATTTGGTTTTTTTCAATAAGACAACAGCTTCCCGGCTTCTGTCCTGAGAGAGTTTAGTTTTCCCACAGTCCTCTCATTTGAAGGTAATGAGCAATGTGGGTTTTTATGTGACACCTTCTTACTATTAAACGTTAGTACAAAAAGAAATCTATGACACTTTTCAACCAAGTAAACAGCTACAAACAAGCTTTATCCACAGGCTACTGAATGTCAGCCTCTCCCCACCATGAGGCCTTGTGAAGACTCACATTATCAGGCCTCATAAACCCAGCATGAGAAAGACACCGGCATGCTGGATCAGACTTGTGCCTTCTCTGTGGCCCCTAACCTCAAATCTATGGCTGTGCCTGCGCATATCCTACCTAAGTTTAGGGCTGATCTTGTTTGAAAACATCATCCAAATGAACACTTCGATTTTCTGTTATATTCATCTCTCATTCCTGGGACAAAATACCCCACACCCAAAATGAAAGAAGAAAAGGTTTATTTAGCTCACTGTTTATGGAGGTTTCAGTCCATAATCAGCTGGCTCCAAGGCAGAATAGTGTGGCTAAGGGGCAGCCATTCACAGTAGCCTCAAGCAACAATAGCTAAAAGGGAAAAAAAGCATGCCTCCTTCCCTCTCTTATGTTATATGTGGGTTACCCACCCCTGGGCATGTGCAGCGCTCACACAGCCAATCCCAGTGCTTGACAATGAACCAATCACAAACACTAGACTCAGCCACCTCCATGACTGCATGAGGCTTGTCGAGGGACATCCAAACACAAACCACAACACATATTCACCTGGGGTAATATTTCCCCTTCATCACACCTTTGAACAGTCACTAAGTTTAGTCAGTGAGAGTTTTTACACACCTCTCTCGGTTACTTTTCTCACTGCTGAGACAAAATACTCAACATCCAAAGTTAAGAGGGAAAGGTTTATTTAGCTCACAGTTTGTAGAGGTTTCAGTCCATCATGGCTGACTCCAAGGCAAGACAGCTTTGTAGTTGACAAGAGTGCATGGTGGGTAGAAGACATCAAAACAAACAGGGAATTTAAACATCACTTTCTGCCCCTTTTATCTTATCAGGCTACTGAGATTAGAGTGGTGCCAAACCAATCAGGAGGCCAATGTAGTAATTACATACCCTTAATCCCAGGATCACACAGTCCAGATCCAGCTGTCTCTGAAAATGACCACATGGGGCCTTGGGGGACCTCTAGACATAAGCAATTACACTGTCCATCCGTGAGACCAGCCTATCTGGTTTGCAAGGACCTCGTGTTCACAAGCTGTGGGGTGTCTATACCATCAGTTGCCACTCCTGACTCAAAATGCACCAGTTTGGGGGAGAAAGTCATTATCTAGTCAAGACCTGATCCCGCAGTTTAAACACTTGACTGGCTCCTGAAATCCCACAAGGATGCACAGCCACAGAAGTGCTAGCTTCTGTGGAAAGTCAAAGTAGGACATGTCGTCACCATGGCTACCGCGTCCCTCAGGTAGGCTCCAACCAAAAAGATCAGCTCTGTGACCAGAGAAAGAGATGGCGGCCAACAACAGGTACAGCCTTTCAAAGGACAGGTCCCCATGGGAGCAAGCATTTAAGTGTTTCCCGGTGCTCATCTTTTCACAGTGACGGGTCTCCTTGCACTTGTTTGTCCCCCTCATTATTACTGTGCACATGGTGACACAGGTCAGGGGTTTCATCTTGGCAAAGTTGCACATAAGCAAAATAAATTCTGCTTTTCTTACTGAGCCGTAGGGAGCCCAGTTCTCCTACATGCTAAGCAGGTAATGTGCACTGCCTGATGCCCCTTTTGTCTGGACTGAGGTGAGATATAAGTGCTCATTACAAATGTGTCTGGGAGGTTCACCTATCTCATAGTGAAGACGAGAAGAATGAAGCTGAACTTGAGAGAAAATGGGATAAACATAGATGACCTGTCCACTGTCAGGTTGTCTAGTGTGACGCACACTGTGCCAAATGTCAGCAGGGACACAGACAAGGAACAGTGCCCGCCTCCATTGGGTCACTCAGAGCTCAGCAGCCCTGCAACACAGGAGAGGCTGTGCACTGACCGGTGCAGTGGTGACAGTCATGTCCACTGCTGGCCCCAGAGAGGCACAGCTGTAGGAGGCTTGGGGGCTGCAGAAGGGAGGCCCTGGGGGGCAGGCCGAGGGAAAAGACAATACTTAGGCCTTGCCAGTAAGAACAGGGCCATCACTGCTGCCAGAGCTCCTGAGCCCGCTGCAGAGACCGAGACAGAGGCGGGGAGGTTGTTTGGAGTCAGTTGTGGCAGAGCTTTTCATGCTGGATTAATTTTAAAGATGAGAAGCAGGCTGTGGTGCTTAGAGAAAAAGTGGATGCTTAGTTTGATCTTCAAAGCCTACCACACCCACAGAGAACCAGAGCCAGAATAGCAGAGAGCCAATTCCAGCCCAGAAGAGCATGCTGCACCCTCTTTAATGAAACAAACGCGTACTTTCAAAACTCCTGCAAACAGAGCAACTTCCTGGTCTTATCATCTCCAGTCATTTTGTGGGTAACAGAAGTGATAGTTCTAAACGGGAGCCCTCAATCACCTCTTCAGGGTCATGAGGCTCAAGAATTTTTCTTGCTTGATTCCGAGGCCTCTTGTGTTTGAAGATGCTTCCCCGAGTGTGGCTGAAGGACTGGAGACAGTGTTAAGACTTCCAAAAGTCATCCACAGCACTCCCTTGGGAAGGAGTTCATTCCAGCACCTGTCCACACCGTTGAGAACAGAACAGTGAAAACAGGAATCATGCAAGATAAGAAAGAGGGGGAACGCTGGAAACAACCCGAGGGGACACTGGAGAGACCGAGGCTAACCTGAAGTCCAAGGGAGGCGGGCAGCCCCTGCTCACAGTTGGAAGACACAGCCCAGCCTGGGGGAGTGGGGAAGCTTCTCAGAGCGGGCGCAGGCCTCACTGATACGGGAATCTTTCCTGCTGCTTCCCAGGAGGGCCATGGGCAGGGTAGCCACCATCCCCAGGAGACAAGCTCCCTCTCATGAAGGTGACAAGTCCCATCCCTAATACAGCATGGCTGATAAGTGGTTCACATGGAACTGGACCCAGAACACCTCGGCTCCAAAGCCCGTGTCTCCCTCAGGCTCAGGTACCCTTTAAAGAGGGAAATCGAGGCCAGCCAGGCAGGAGCAGCTAGGAATCGTGGTGGTCCAACATGGCGGACAGGGACTTACCCTGAGGAGGTGAGGTCTGAGAGCAGTCTGTTGTGCGGTGGACGATGTGGACTTGTGAATTAGCGCCCTGAGCAGTGTACATGCTGAGTGTGCATGTCCCATACAGGGATGTTGTGTGGGCACGAAATCCAGGAACCAATATTTCTCTACAGTTTTCTGTGTCCTCGAGCACAGGTCACTGGCTTGACTGACTACAGGAAGGGGCCAGCAAGACAGAAAAATAAGCCAAAGCGAGCAACATAACTTGCAGGAAAAGCTGTGGAATCATAAATAAGTGTGATGGTTACGTTTTTGTTATATTTCAACATAACGTGATTTTAAAAGGACTTACAAAGACTTCATGGTAAACAAACAAAAGGAATCTGGAATTTATATTTCTGGAGGCAGAAATATAAATAAAAACTAAGCCTGGCTCAGTGATGTGTACTGTGATCCCCACCACTTGGAAGGCTGAATCAGGAAGACTGCTTACATCTAGGAGCTCAGCAACACAGCAAGACCCTGCGTTCAACAGAGGAGGGGAACAGCAAGGGGCACACAGCAGCCCTGGGGTAAGGGCAGTTCAGAAGGTAAACGCCTGCTGGAAAGGGTTACAAACGTGCTGTGTGACTCTCAGAAGTTAGTACCCCTCCACCTAGAGTGTATCATCAGTTATGATACCAGTTATGATTCAGTAAGACAAAACGTATTCATTCATTCATTTATTTTTGAGACAGGTCTTAGTTATGTAGTGCAGGCTGGCCTTAAGCTCACTTTGCTGCACAAGCTGACCTCACATTCCAAGTGATCCTCCTGCTTCAATGTCTAGAGAGTTGGAATTACAGGTATGCACCACCACACCCAGAATTTGTTTGTTTTGTTTTGTTTTTCCAGCATTTGTCTTGATCTGGTTTGGTTTGGATTGGTTTGGTTTGGTTTAGTTTGGTTTGGGACAGGGCCTAGCTATGTAGTTTAGGTTGACCTTGAATTCGCTGTGTAGCCTAGCTGGCCTAGAAGTTGCTATCCTCCTCCTCGGCCTTCCTCTTCAGCCTCCCAAGGGGTTGTACCACAATACCTGGCCAGAAATTATTTCCTAGTCAAATGATTTTGTCTTGGCTGGCATATTAGCACATTTCTATAATTCCAACACTGGGAGGCTGATGCAGGAGGACTGCAGTTTGGAAGTCAGCCTGGGCTACATATTGAAACATCTCAAAACAAAATTAAAGCCAAAACCAAAACAAAAAAAATACAAGCTGTGACCAGACAGGTGTCTGTTTCCCGTCTCTGCTTTCTCTCTGCTGTAGATATAACTTGCTCACACACCAGGCAGAGTGCTCTGGACCTCCTGCGTGGACTGTCCCACTCTTGCGCCAGCCACCTGCCCCCGTCAGCTCTGACTCAGTCTTAGAAGAGTCGGGCTGTGGGTGAGTACGAGGCAGGTATCACCCAACTCTGAAGGGCTGGGCCACTGGAAGGTTGCAAAGTCACTCAGCCACGTGTATCTCCTGCTTTGACAGGGAAGGAAGGTGCGGGGGGCTGGGGAGGAGAAAAAGTGGGGGAACTTCCTCTGGCACAAGAACTGAGTAAGTGGAAGGACATAATCCCAGCCATCTGAGGGGCTTCCAGGAGGACACAAGTTCAAACATAAAGAGGGCTAGGATGTTACTCAATGGGAAAGGACCTCTGGGTTCAATCCCTTATACAGAGGGAGGGAGGGAGGGAGGGAGGGAGGGAGGAAGGAGGGAAGGAAGGGGCAGGGATATGATGGGAAGGGATGAGAAAGAAGAGGGGAGGGGAGGGAGAGGAGGACAGGAGAGGAGAAGAAAGGGAGAGAAAGAGAGTAGGAGGAGAGAATAGGAGGGAGGGAGGGAGGAGAAGTGCATCAGTCCTTCCTAGCAGTAAGCTGACCCTGGGCAAGGCATCTACAGACTTATGTCGACATCCCTGCTGTGGTGAGGCCGTGTGGTAAGCCATTCTACATGTCACATCTAGGTGGCGTCTGTAAAAAATCATTAGTATAATAAATGTGTTCTATCTGGTCTTTGAATTAAAAAATCTAAGAGTTGATTTGTCTGGTTGCTTGGCTGAGTTTACGTCCATCTATGATCAACTGTCATTTGTCAGCTGACTTGAGGAGACACTGTTAGCAGCCAGGAAAGTTCTGGGAGTGTGGGGATGAGGGGTGCATCTACTCCATGCTGATTCTGTTCATCCAGAGAAACCCAATATACCATGGGAGCAGGAAGCTGACAGGTGGCAGCCTGCATAAGCCTCCAGCTCTGTTCAATATCCGAAAGCCACCTCTGCGATTTAGGCTGGCACATTCATCTACCGCAGGTTCCCATCAGTGTGGCCACAGCAGAAAGTTCGCCCCGAGGAGCCTGCCAGACCCCTTCTCGGGATTGTAAGTGCAGTGCCCATGGTGCCCAGCCCCATGCCCAAATACCACTGCCCAGAGACACTGCAGGGACAGCAGTTTCACCCTCTGATGACATTGCACTGACAGAAGAGCTTGACGACTGGGAAACTCCAGCTGCTAGCAAGGGTGTGGAGCGATCGGGCCTGTCACAGAAGCTGGGAAAATACCCGGCAGAACAGAACTAGAGGAGACGGAGTATAATCCCTGTAACTCAGCACTTCTATCACTGAGTATAGATACAAAAGAAATGACGCTTGCTTCCATCGAAAGACACAGTTAAGAGCATCCAAGGTAGTCCTTTCCTAATAGCCAGAACCTCAAACAACCTAGAAGCCCCCTCAAAAGGATAACTGCAAATCTAGGCTGGTGGCTCATGAAGTTGAAGATTGAAGTCGAGGAAAAGGAGGTTGCTGTGGCCAGGATTCACAAGGGAAAAGATTTAACACAGGACACATAATTCGTAGGATTATTTTATAATATCCACCCAAGTAGTCAAGTAAAAGAGTGTGGGAGATCTGTCCTCACACTAGAGACCCAAAGAATCCAGGTGAGGGTTTGGATCTCAGCAATGTCCTCCATGAGTGCAGGATCTGGGCTGGGAAGGCCCAAAGGTCAGTGGTGAAAGCCAGAAAGTCTATGCTGGTGGGATGAAGGATCTGTGCAGCAGACTGAGAGATCTGCACTGGAGCCAGGAAGTGATGCCCAAGTAAGGACCAGAGCTCCCCCAAAGAGAACCGCAGGCATCCTGCATGACAGTGAGCGCTGAGCTCCTCCAGCGTTGAGAACAGCTGAGAACAGCCAGCCCAACCAGCTCCTCCAGGAGAACCAACACCACCGTCTTCCTCTCCAGTTCCCCCTTTCATGCTGTTGGCCACAATCCTCAGGGGGGCTTTCCACGCCCAGCACCCGATGATTCAGTTCAGCTAGGTGTTACAAACTGCTCATTAGTTAACCCACCACAGAGGTAGACAGGAGGGATATTTATGACAAAGAGAAAAATAGTTCTGATAGTCATGAAGGGACCCAAAAGTGGACTCCCAGAGGAAATCTTTATTTAGGAGTTTTATACCAAAAAAATCTTCAGGGCTCAGAGGACTCCAAGACAAACTAGATCAATCTTTAGGACTAAAATAAACTTACTGAACCACTTACTAGTGCAATTATTTAAATTCAGGTGGACCAAAAAGTGCATATATTTTATTTTTGTAAGGTAACAGAAAATATTAAAATGCCAGTTTTATCCTATTTATTGAATACAGGAATCAATTGGTTGAAATGACAGCCACACGAGTAACCCTCAGGAGAATCAATAGTTAAGTGAACACACTGCCCACGTGACCCTCGGGGTAAGCTGTAAGTAGGTTGAGAGGGAAGAGGCTTATGAGGAGTCAGGCAGGAAGCAAGGTGTGCATCCTCGTGGGCCTGGCGGCCTCTGTCCTATCCAAGGGTTCATTGAGACAAACAGAGAAGGAAAAGCATTTTCCAGACAGCTATCACAGTGGGCATCTGTCACCCTGCTTGTTACATCCTGGACCCCACGGCCCACCCAGCCCCTCTCAGCTCTTGACCACAGCTCCCACTTATCTGACCAAGGCCTGGGCATCCTGACACAGCCTTGGGCCCAGGGCCTCTTTCACTGCCTGCCCACTGTCTTCAGCCCAGTTTAGGCAAATTGTCCCTAATAGTGACACAGCAGGGGCACAGCATGAAAACAGCCTCACTCCTACCAGTTACAGGGGAACTCCCAACCGAGCCTGAGCTCCGGACCCCAGGGCCGCTTTTATAATGTGCAGAGTCTAATGCGTGGCAGGACCCCGGCACAAGCAGGAAGATGATCCTGTCCTGAGCAGCAGCGGTGTGGCCAGGACCCAGGGCGTGCCCTGGGCATGGGGCTGATGTCTGCCTCCCATCCGAGCCACACACAGGCTGCACGTGTGAAATGGATGGAGCAGTAGCTCAGGCTCTAGTGGAGACCTCGTGCCCTGGCAGGGAGCAGGTAAAGACATGAGGACAGCAGGACAGCCAGCCAGGCCAGGGACTCCGCTCACCTCTCGGTGCCCTAGTTCTGTGTGCTCTAGCTGAGCAGAGGAGCCGGCAGTTCACCGTCACTCTGCATGGGTGCCACATAGACGCGACACTCAGAAGAGGGTAAGCACGTTCAGTGTAGCGAGATCAAGTCTGGCTCTATATTTCCAGGAGATAACTCTGCCACAGTCTAAAAGCAATAAATACACTTAACTACATTTAAGGTGGAAATACCTCTTCTGGGGAGCAGGAATGTTCTGCCTTGAATGCTAGAAGATCATGACACATGCAGAAACGCGCTCTCTAAGTCAAGGAAGGGCGCACTGTTAGTGGTACCAACCCAGTCACCCGCACTCAGGGGTCAGGTATTAACCTTGGAACCAGACACAGGAAACAAGCTGTGAGAGGGCACTGAGGACTAAAGCCCATCACCTCCCGTATCACACCGCCCCGTTCAGCCCTACCACGGGCCTCAACATGAGTCAAGAGTTCACCAGCTGACCAAGCCATCAGGTGTCCAGGTTCCTGCAGCTCCACGGAGCTCAACCCTAGTGCAGTTCTCTTTACTTAACATACCTGAGCAATCTCTCCGTCTCTTTATCCCTAAAATTCTAGGGAATCTTAATGCAGGGAAAGGTATTCTGGTTTCTTTGCAATTTTAGAAGTGATTGTACTACAGGTTGAAATATAAGTATGCTATAAGCCATAAAAACGTATTCAAATCAAAGCAGGGCACTTAAGTCTCACACCATGAAGCAAACTGAC